TTTATTGTTAGTTAGTGTATTTATAAACTCACAACAATGTGCCTTACCACCATTGATAATAACAATGCTGTGTGCCTGCTAATATCGATGTCATAAAAAACCAATTAGCTACCTGTATTTGTAATGTCTTGTGTATTATACATGTATATTAAATAAAAAAATTGAAACTTTAAATGTTTATATATAATTTATATACCAAATTTATAAAAATATATTTTTATTTAACATTTTTGTTTTAAATAATTTAAATTGTACTATTTACTACCTACTGCCAATAAAAATTTTAAAGTATTAAATTTAATTTAACTTTTATTATAATTTATAATTAATGTAGCTGCTATGGAGGTTGAATTTAAAAATTTTAATAAATTAAATTGTAAGATTATTATATTTATTTTTACTCTTCAAATTATGAAGGTTTAATAAATTTATGTAATATTGCTATCTTTAAATGAATTTTGAAATTTGTGTTACATGAACAGCAGTGTTTCAAACTTGAAATAAACACGTTTTAGGTAAAAGTTATAAAGTGCAAATTTGGAAATTTTAAAACTTTTATCCTTAACTACGTCGATAATGAGTATTTTTTATTATTTTACTGTTAGGGGCCTCAAAATAAAACTTGCCCCGGGCATCCAAAAGTGTAAATCCGGCCCTGACTATAAATAAATAAATTCACATATACATTTATATGCATTTATAACATTGTGTCTAATGTAAGTATAACATGATAAAAAGTAACCGTAAATGAAAAAAAATGGAATATAAATTTTAGTACTCATATTAAATGTAATGTAACTCGAAAAATATTTGTTTAAATGAAAAAATAGAAGATAATTTTTTTGTTTATAATTGTCTTTTAAACGACTTTTGTATGAAACTTTTTTTTGTAAGTTAAATATTTTTTGAGAAAATTAAAAAAGCTCATATTTTGGACTTTTGCGAGGCTGTAAAAAAAAAAGCTCAATTCCAATCAATGAGGANAAAAAAAGCTTAATTCCAATCAATGAGGACTATTAGTATGTCATTATACATATTTTAATTCAACTTTTAAAAAAACAAAATTTGGTAGNTAGTATGTCATTATACATATTTTAATTCAACTTTTAAAAAAACAAAATTTTTTCCGCAATTTTTCCTTTGTTGACTGGCCTAGATGTCAATTTTAAACTTGTAATTGAGTTAAAAGTTATGGTAATATATTCAATTTTTTTTACTTTAAACTTTCATAAATCTTTATCAAAAATTTTTCATCAACTTTAAAGAACCAAAAAAATANAAAATTTTTCATCAACTTTAAAGAACCAAAAAAATAGGTTAAAATTGAAAATTTGGACTGATTATTTTTAACATATTAAAAATCAAATCAGTAATAATTTGGAAACAATTTTTTTTTTCTTTTAATTATTATTTTATATATAATTAGTAATAATATAAAAAATTAGAAGTGATAGAAAAAGTCTACTTGCAGATTTGAAAACAACGCGAAAAGTTGATTTAGAAAAGTATATTTTTGCTTCTGATGAAAGTTCCTTGTAGTCCAGTGCATTTTTTTATAGTAACAAACAGTTTTTATTGAAAATTATTGTATCAAGCCCTTTAAATTTTTATACACGTAAAAGTAAAGCAAAATATAACTTCTTTATTATTTTTATAATTTCTCCGTTTAAATTACAATATTAAATATCAATTTCATACTAAATTTAATAATTATAAT